TTTTTCTAATATTTTCGTTCCGCTATTTCATTATGGGAGCAAAACGTGTGATTTTGATTTTAAGTATTTTTAAAACGTTTATAATATATTCAGCGGATAATATTAAAAAAAATACTTGTATTAAAATGAAACGAAATGTTTTGTATATCTGGTAGAAAAATATTATGAAAACACGTGGGGCTAATATTATGTAAATATTATAGGGATAATATTCTAAAGTAAACGTTTTGCAAATATTTCAAATGTCTGGTAACTATTTACAAAATGTAGGATATTCGTACAACATTGGGCCAAAGATGCGTCGTGATTCAAACATTGTTTAGGTTATGATGGATGTTGCAACGTTATTTTGTATATCGATTTTGACGTTCATGTGGCCTCAGCCTAAGTTCGATATTTCGCGGCCATTCAATTCCGGTTCCATAAGTCCAGTTAACCGAAGTTTAACTGGTTTACACCCAGTTGAACCTGCTGTAAATAGATTAAACTCCGGTTAACTCTAATTAACACTAGAACTACCAAGACCAGTTAAAATAACTGGTTTCAAATGGCCCATCCTATACATAAAAAATCCACCGATAGTTCTAGTGTCAAGGTGAAGTGAAACACGTCGAGGAACTTGATCGACGTCGATAAAGATTTTTCTAAATGCCTACGATGCCGACGTTCGTTTTTATATTGACAGCTGTGTCGAATTATATTGGGTATTGTACCAAATGACATATTCCACCTGTCGTTTTCATACAATAATTATAAAGAAATCGAGGTAAAACTCCAGAAATCCTCTGGATTTATGCTTTCTGGGGCCCTAATTGACTGCAGAGGGACCCCCTGCGCCATCTATAATTTCCAGGTCAATTAAATTTTCCCTCCGAGACCTCGTATTCCCATCGTTTTGGCATAGAAGCGCATACAACACTTTTTTTGCCTTTATCCCGTTCAAATGCGAGTATCGATTACTAAAGTGTTCTAAATTGTCGTAAACTAGTCCTGACCCTTTCGATTCTCAAATCAGTGCCTTCGATAATTGTATATTGATAGAAATATGAGAGCTCGACGCCTTTTTGGTTCTAGTCTGGGCTGAATTGAAAAATTAAAAAAAAAAAATCCAAATTTTGAATGTGTCAGGACAATTCTTAAATGATCAGGAGTAATGTGTCATTGTTTCGGGCAGTTTGGTCTAATACCCTTAAAAAAAGTGTTGTATTCGAATTTACTGATTTGAGGGGGGTTTCATATCATCTTAAGGAACCTGGTCTCAATACGTTAGTTAACGTTTAGGCTGGGGTTACACGAGCATCAATAATGTACGATATTGGGCCAAAGATGCGTCGTGATTTAAGTGTTGTTTGGGTTACGATGGACGTTGCAACGTTATTTTGTACGTGTATCGATTTTGACTTTCATTTGACTCCAGCCTAAGCCCGAAATTTCGCGGCCATTCAAGCCCGGTTCCGCAAATCGAGTTAACCGAAGTTTAACTGGTTTACACCCAGTTGAACCTGCTCTAGACCGATTAAACTCCGGTTACCTTGAGTTGTGGAACCTGGTCTTAGTACGTTGGTTAACGTTTAGGCTGGGGTTACACGAGCATCAAAACAGACGTGAATCGAAATCGACATTGTGCGTCCATCGTAAAAGTTTATTATGGCCTATTACGGTGGACCCAAGCGACGTGCGTTGGTTTCAACGCGCGTAGTAATGCGCGTAGCTTTCTAGTCGACGCACTTCTGCTACGATGGAAGTCGTGATGTAGCAATGCACGTTATGTATAACATTGTTTCAAATACAGCTAGTTACCCGAGCATCAAAAATACGTCCGGTCGAAATGCGTTTGTCAGTAAAGTGCTTAATGATCTTAGTCGAAATCGAAGCGCGTTACAACGCACGTCGTTTGTGTGTCTACCACTACTGTAGAGTCCGTCATAACGNACCACTATAGCAGAATCTGTCATAGCGTATGCCATTTTTAACGCTTGTGTGTCTATCACTGTAGCAGAGTCCGTCATAACGTATGTCATTTTTAACGCTTGTGTGTCTACCACTATAGCAGAGTCCGTCATAACGTATGTCATTTTTTACGCTTGTGTGTCTATCACTATAGCAGAGTCCGTCATAACGTATGCCATTTTTAACGCTCGTATGTCTCTACAAGTACATGCGTTCAAATGGATACCCGCACGGAGAGAAAAAAGTTGTTATAATTACTACAATTGGGATAGATGTAACAGCAATCGCTGGTAAATATAAGGACAGCAGTTCTACAAAGTAATGATTGCTCTGCTAAAAATGTCAAATGTACAATTTGAACAATAGGAACGATAACGGTTCACACTTGTAAGAAACATTAGTGCTACGGTTTATTTTACGGTTTTCAATAGAGTTCTTGCTTTCAAATTTTACAACTGTGATGGTCATTTTTACATGTGCCTTTATACGTGTAATTTTTACTTTGCAATGTTATACATGTAACACTGTCAGATGCAAATATAACTACAATTTATGTACAGGAACTCTGCAGTTGCTACTACAGCCGCAATGGTTAAAAGGACAAAAAATTGCAATTATATCTACAATAATTGTTGTTAAGGTTACAACGATACTTTTACCCGCGAGCATATGTAATGATTACAATATTATTTTTCTGCGTGCGTTGCAACAAACATTAAAACGACGCTCTTGTGATTCGAGCCTTAGCATGAACTAGTTTCTCTTGGCCTTCAACTATAAGTTGAATAGCTACAATCTTTCCATCAAGATGTCGTAACACGCCGGTCTCGAGAAATGTTATATGTGCTTTGCAACCAACAACCACTTTTTTATTCCAGCCAAACCGTTCATATCTGATGCGTGATTGTTTGTCATCTGTCGAGTTGTCATTATTTGGCTCTACAGAAACATGGAGTTTCGTACTTAAAACTTGGGACGATTCGAAAAGCCTATGTTCGTGAATGGAATTATTAAATAAATGGTTTAGAATTTGGTAACGAGTCGACCTTTTCGATCAGTTGCACAAGTAATCGATATCCCGTTTAATTTATAACAAGGAAGTCATTACAAATATCGATGCGTCTCCTCGATAGTTGCCATTGCGCAACCGCGTATGAATATTTTCGGCTGTGACAACGTCTCTTTGGCAATTCGCAACGGCACCGTGAGGGAATGAAAGTGCCAGCCGTAAGCCACGGCCTCGTGTACGTAGATATTTATTAAACTGTACGAGAGTCCTGCAACTTTCTACTCAAAGTGGCGAACCTGAGTAGAAACCCTCGCCGCCTGTTCGAGAACTTGTTGTGGAGACCGAAACGGACAATTGGGATATGATTAAAATAGGTACCGTATATACGATACCTACTTTAATCTGGTGCTACATACTATAATTAAAGAATTAGAAAATTCAACAAGATTTATCGATAAAGGATTGATCTTAAACCCGAAATAAGTATGTGTATTAATAAAATGGCATACGTCGACAATAAATTCCCAACAAAAACATAAAGCCGAAGAAATGAAATTTCGACGTTCGTTAAATATTTAGATGATTCGTGTTTTCTACAAGAGTAGCGAAATGGTAGCATATAGATTTTATGTACCTGGAGTAGTATCAAGCCAACACTAATAACCAAGTCCACATAATTGACTTTGATATCACAGTACTTGTATTATAAACACAATTGCTGCAGTTAATCGAGATGCACTTCACAAAATATTGACGCTAACCCTGAATCCCAAGCAAGATTAATAAAATAAATATATTGTAATATATTTGTGAAAGGGTCGTTTCAGGTCTGCCGATTTAAGGTGAAGTGAAACATGTCGAGGAACTTGATCTTTTTATAAATGCCTACGTTGCCGACGTTCCTTTTTTATATTGACAGTTGTGTCGAATTATATGGGGTATCGTACCAAATGGCATACTCCACCTGTCGTTTTCGTACAATAAATACCAAGAAATCGAAGTAAAACTCCAGAAATCCTCTGGATTCATGGTTTCTGGAGTCCTAATTGACTGCAGAGGGACGCCCTGCGCCATCTGTGATTTCCAGGTCAATTAAATTTTCACTCCGAGACCTCGTATTCCCATCGTTTTAGCATTGAAACGCATACAACACTTTTTTTGCCTTTATCCCGTTCAAATGCGAGTTCATCGATTACCAGAGTGTTCTAAATTGTCGTAAAATTGTCCTGACCCTTTCGATTCTCATGTCAGAGCCTTAGTTAATTGTATATTGATCGAAATATGAGAGCTCGACGCCATTTTGGTTCTGGTCTGGGCTGAGTTGAAAAATTAAAAAAAAATCCAAATTTTGAATGTGTCAGGACAATTCTTAGATGATCAAGAGTAATGTGTCAAAGTTTCGGACAGTTTGGTCTAATACCCTTAAAACAAAAGTGTTGTATTCAAATCGACTGATTTGAAGAGGGTTTCACTTCACCTTAAAATCGATTCCGCAGAAGTTCGAATTGCAGTCGGCGCAGTGGGTCACGGGGCACTTTCACTCCCATGAGGAAGAGGCCCAGCCTCCGTTTCAAGTTTCGATTTTATGTCACGGGGATGCTCTTGGGTTGGACGAGGTAATCATTCTCGGGTATCCGAGTCCACGGTTCCGATCGAAAGTCGATAAGTCAATACACACCGGATAGGCTTCGCAGCCGAGCAATAGCTGGAGGTGTTGACCGGTGGGTTACTTAAACCGAAGTAGCTCCGTTCCCTTGATCGCCGATCAATTTAAAGAGCACTGGCTGGGATCGGTCATCCGACTTACCGACGCCTACAAGCTTCTGGTCTGGTCTTCTCTCTTTTCACGTCCCTTAAAAAACCCGAAATCGGTGCCAATGCCTTCTGGAAACACAAAGGAATCTCTTCTTAGACATGAATAATTTCATTACTTTATCGGAGAATTTTTTATGTGGAAAAACGCACCCCTAGTAGCGACAAATATTTATCTTACGTTGTCTATATATTTAACGAATATCGTACATCCGTTAATATTTAACAGACATTTGAAATATTTCTTTAATATTAGCTTCACATTTTTCCGTAATATTTGTCTCTTACAGACACACCGAAACATTTCCTTTCATTTTAATATAAGTCTGTTTTTTAAATATTATCTGTCGAATACATTATAAACGTCTTAAAAATATTTAAAATCAAAATCACCCGTTTTGCTCCCATTACGAAATAGCCCAACGTGGATGTTGCAAAAACTTTTTCGTGCGTTTTAATATCAAATGGAGTGTTCGACAATACTTGAAAAGTAAAAGTGTTGAAATATATATATATATTTATGTTTATAAATTATTCAAACTATATTTTTGATGCAAACAAATATTTTAGATATTTTCAAATGTAATCTACAGGATATCTTAAAAAATCTATCGCTTGAAATATTTAGCAAAGGTTTCAAGAAAATATTTAGAAATGATTCCGTGCTACTAGGGACAAGTTGGGCATGAACGACAATGATGAGGTAAAACATTCCTATATACTGTACTTCCTTATGTAGTACTTATACTTCCGGAGGTGCCGCAGGGTCCTAAATTATCAATTTTTATTTCTGTAATTAGGATCCGAAGATCAGGTAGGATTTAAATTACTCTTTTTACTTTACGGTCGTAACGTCTCGCGTAAAGGCCCGTAGAGGAGGACGGAAACGCCGTCTCCACGGAAAGATTCACTTTCTTTTCGTTGCCTTCCACGATGCTTTCTCCTTTCGAGCCTCGCGAGCCAATCGCTTCGACGAGCAACAGGGCCATTTTTTATTCCTCTCTGCTCGAATCCGGACGTGCCCATTTGTCTCCCGAGAGAAATCCCGAGAACGCCGAATCGGCCAAGTAGATTTCGGAAATGCACGCCTTTGGTATCGTTGCGCTCTTGTACATACATCCGATGTACATCTATATGAAGGCATGCAATAAAGAAAGGCACGTGATGCAGGCAAGGAGAAATCGCCCGAAGCGCGAAAGTTTGGCCCGAATTTCCCAAAATATGAAATTAACATTTGGCGCTTACATTTATGGCGCAGAGCGTCAAGGAAACTTGTTCATAACACCCTAGTAGCACAAAATATTTGTCTTGTATTTTCTATATATTTAACGAATATCATACATTCTGTAAGTATTTAACAGACATTTGAAATAAATGCGAAACATTTACTTTAGAACATTATTTTTATAATAATTTTATAATATTAGCTCCAAGTCTGGCTCGAATGTCCCAAAATGTGAAATTAACATTTGGCGCTTACATTTATGGCGCCAAAGTCAAGGAAACTTGTTCCTAACATTCTAGTAGCACAAAATATTTGTCTTGTGTTCTCTATATATTTAACAAATATCATACATTTTGTAAATATTTAACAGACACTTAAAATACTTGCGAAACATATACTTTAGAACATTATTTTTATAATAATTGTATAATATTAGCTCCAAGTCTGGCTCCAATTTCCCAAAATGTGAAATTAACATTTGGCGCTTACATTTATGGCGCTAAAGTCAAAATAACTTGGTCATAACACCCTAGTAGCACAAAGTATTAGTCTTATATTTTCTATATATTTAACGAATATCACAAATTTTATAAATATTTAGCAGACATTTGAAATATTTGCGAAACATTTACTTTAGAACATCGTTCATATAATATTTCTGTAATATTAGCACCACGTGTTTTCGTAATGTTTTTCTTATAGACATACAAAACATTTCACTTAGTTTAGTATAAGTAAGTTTCATTATTATTTGCCGAATACATTATAAACGTTTTAAAAATATTTAAAATCAAAATCACACGTTTTGCTCCCACAATAAAATAGCGGAACGAAAATATGACAAAAACTTGACGCGTTGTTTGACACCAAATGAAGTGTCCGATAATAATCGTAAAGTAAAAAATGTATCTTTATTATATGTTCATAAATTAAAGAATATAATTTTGATATGCATACATAAATTATTAAAACTGAATATGTCATTGAGATTTTCAACAAACATTTCATATATCATGGAATAAAATATACAAGACATCTTAAAAAATCTATCGCTTGAGATATTAACAAAGATTACAAACAAATATTTAGAAATTATTCTGCGCTACTAGGGCAACTTGGTATGGTAACTGCATACAGTAAAAATATGGTAAAGTAATATTTGTTAGTTGTTTTTAATGAGATATATTTTGAAGTATGGATTGTTAATAAAAATCTAAATCTACTAAAATGATTTATAGTGGTTCGATTTGCAGTTTACGGGGCAGTATCACTGATACGTAGTTTAGGTACATTTCTTTATATGGAGAAATATTATCAATTATAGAGTTACGTATAATTAAACGATAACAAAAAATGGTGGAATTTTTGTGGCCTAGTTCCTTGTAACTCCGATGGAAACGCATTTCAACCGCTTGTACACGTATCTTCGAGTGCATAGAAAACCACCTTTTGAAAGGTAATTAGTTGTGCAAGTGATACGTGTCATTGCGCATGCTGTGAGGTTGCGGCGCCAATTTATGAGGCAATGCTTTTTCGAGATCGTGCAGAATACAAATTAGAGATATATTATCGAGGAGTGAGGTCTTACGTTTATTTTCTAAATTAGAAAATTAATGAAATCCAAAGAATTACTCATACACATGCCGCCTGAAAGCACTTAGCGGCCCCACACCTTAGTGAAATTACATTCTCTGAAGAGAAATTGGAAAAATGGGTGATGAAATTGATGAAATAAAAATGAAAAAACTAGTAAAAACATAAAGCAACAATTTCTATATTAGGAATCGCTACTATTTTCTTCGTACTTCTACATTTTGAATTCAAGTTTCAAAGAGCGCCAATATAATAATTCGGTGCAAAAGAAGTCCGAAAAGTGTTTGATCAACATTTCACGCGGAATACAAATTAGAACTACGGTAATGAGGAGCTACTCGAAGCTCCCCTAATACCATAGAATAATTGCTCAAAGAGCGCCAATATAATAATCAAGTCATCAAAGCGTCAAGTTTCAAAGAGCGCCAATATAATAATTCGATGCAAAAGAAGTCCTAAAAATGTTTGTTCAACATTTTACGTGGAATACAAATTAGAACTACGGTACTGAGGACCTACTCGAAGCTCCCCTAGTAGCATAGAATAATTTCTAAATATTTCTTTGTAATCTTTGCTAAATATCTCAAGCAACAGATTTTTTAAGGTTTCTTGTAGATTTCATTTGAAGATATCCGAAATATTCGTTGAAAATCTCAATAACATATTTAGTT